GAGTGGGTTTAGCCAGTACAAAAAGAATCATATTTTGTTACTGATTTATTAGTTATTAAATCTTTATTTTTCATCGCAAGTTAAAATTAATAATAAATTTTAAATTATTAATAAAATCTTTATCATTAATGTTTAATGACGATTTTGATATCTATCATAGGAACAAATTTTATAGTAATAAAAAAAATTAATATTATTAATAAATTATATATAATAATTTCATTCGTCATAAAAAACATTAATTGTGGTAGAAATGTTCATCACAAATGCTACAATTGGGTTATGAAAAAAAAGGTTACTAATGCAATTAAATATTTGTGACAAAATAATCGGTCATCAATTTTTTTTTTTGAACAAATTTACAAGGAACCGGATTCGAACCGTTGACTTGGGATGGAAGAATACATTTATACGTAATCTGACGCCACTGAACCCAAAAGCTCAAGTGCAATTGGTCATCAATTATTTAAACTAATATTAAATCAAAAAGGTATTTTTGTAATTATAACATACATTTGTGATGAATATTTCCTTCACAAATACACTAAAGAATTTGTCACTAATTATCTAAATAGAAAAAGGATAACAATATATATCTGTGATCATAAATTTCAGGTTAAATGTTATATTTGGTCCCTCAACTTTAGTGAGTTGCACATTTTTGGTCTTTCAATAATTTTTTGCATTTTTTTGATCCCTCAACTCTAAGAAATGCACACCATTAGTCCTTCTGTCAATTTAGATCGTTAACTACGACACGTGGTATTTTTTATAATTTTTTTGATGGCATAGCAAAAATAATTTTAAAAAACATTGATTTGGAATTTTTTTTTTAAGATACATTATTGCCAACTCATCACCAACTCATCAACCGATTTTGCTTTAATAAAAAAATAGAAAATTACAAATTTACCTATCTCCCTTTTTTGATCCATCTTCTTCCCCTCTTTCGATCATCTTCTTTGTTTCTTTTTTTTTCTTTTTCTTTCTTCCTTTTCTTTCTTCCTCTTCTTTCTTCCTCTTCTTTCTTCCTCTTCTTCCTCTATGTCTGCTGGGTTCGGTGGAACCCAACAAACTGGGTTCCTCGAACCCAGCAATTGGGTTCGATGAACCCAGTTTGCTGGGTTCGAACTGGGTTCCGTCGAACCTAGCTCCACTTTTTTGTTTTTTTTTTTTTTTGTTATATGTTTGTTTGCGAAGAGATTATCCAAGTTGCAGGTTGTGAGGGATTTTTGGATCCTTTTCTTCATATTTTTTAACTATTTTCTAAATGATTTCAATGTTCAAAATGGAAAGAACAGAAGCAGTTGGGCAAAGAAGCAATTCTTAGTGGGTTTTCATTTGTTTGGTTGGAAAATGGTATAGTTTGGGTGTTTGGATGCTGAGAA